TGAAATCGAATTAGTAAAATGGGCATGATCGTTATTCAACTTTTTACAACCACCGAACTCTAACCATTCCCTCAAACACTTTGAACTATACCCCTGTTTGCATCTCTGTTGTTTCTTCTTTCTTTCATAAACTTTTCGTGTTTGGTAAACAGAAAAAAAGACGATTATTCAAATGTATACTCGAACTAGATAAATTATTCGAATTTCATGGCCCCGATGATTCATAATACCTGAAAGAAAAGGTCGGATGAGAAATCCTATTACCCAGCTCACTTGCATATCGTTCTCGAATGCTGAGAAAACCAAAAGTCCGAGTGAAAGTAGACAATTGGAATCGCAGATGCTACAACTACACGGGGAAAAAGGAATCTTCTTTGGTGAGATTTTTTTTCAAGATTTTGCTGACGACAGCAGTTACTTTTTTAAAGTAAAGTCACTTAACGAATGGTCGTCCATCTTCTCGCGAGAAAAGTATTATTTATTTTTTACGAAAAAAAAAAAAACAATAAGAAAGAAAGAATAAGACAAAACGATTATTTGACGACAACTTTGAACGAAGAATTTTTAGCTTCTACGGATAAACGGATTAATGACAGCTCACAGCCTTTGCCAATTATTTTCGTACGAGAGGACACGTCTTTGGAAAAAAAAAAAAAAGAAAAAAAATGATTTTGTTCGTTCGTCGTTAATCGTTAGCATCGGTCACGTCGGCACGTTCGTGTTTTATCAGAACTCGCGGGCACATTGAAAAAATGCACATGAAAGTCGTCAGAAGAGATGCCTTAATCGACGGAATTAAATTCCTGCCCGTCGAAACTTTGAATTACGAGAGGTTGCTGGGCGTTGTTAATTCCGCGTCCGTCAAAATTGTGTCCTGTACCGTACCAGGGAAAGAGATTTATGTGCATGTCATTATCGTTACTCTATCTGTCCCCCCTTTTTTCTGACTTTTCCTTTTCTACCATTTTCGTGAGATGAAGATGTCTCACGAGAATTCGTCTCTTCCAAAGAGACCCGGTTGAATCTAAACGTATATATAATTATTATTCTTTTTCATTTTTCATATTGAATTGAAGTTTTAAATGTAATACTAATTAAAAATAATATAATCGTATTATTTCAAATAATAAATGTGTAGAATCCCTTTATCTTCTTTTAAGAGAAAAAGAACAATTTCTTTTCTCGAGATTAAACTACGAAAAAAATGTTATAATAAATATAGGTCACGTTTTTATGGTCAACTCGAATTGAAATAAAAAATCTTGTGTCATAAGACATGATATATATATAATAGTTGTCATATATTAAGTTTTACATCTCTTACGTACAATACAATGAGCACATATAATAAAAATACGTAAACGTAAGTAAATCGCAGGTTTCTCAATGCAGTTTTTATCATGGTCATAAAAATGACATTTTCGTTTAAAACCATTGGCCAGGGAGAAGACAGTACACGTCCTTTCCTTCGCATACTCAAAGAGACATTATTATTTAATTAAAGTGAAAACTCTCGTCTCGCGTGTAACATCACGCTCGAGCGAAACGCACAAGAGAGCAAAGTCATCTCTTTTGTTGAGTGACGGGCCACGTATTCCCTGGTATAAAATTGCCCGACAAATTAGCGAATCGTTTCTTCTCCTTCCCTACTACTACCACCTACTACTACTACTTGTCACGTAATAAACTTCACAATATTATCAAAATTAATTAAATTCGACCAGCGACGTGTAGCCAAATTGGTTGGGAATGACTGCGCATGAGTGAAAGACTCTCGCTTCCATTACTGATCTAAACTTTAAACTACATACCTATTAGAACCAACAGAAACTCATGATTATATGGTAGTTTAACGAGATCTTAATCCCTCGTGGTATTATACAAATTATAACTTATTTGTTATACTACTTTATAGAACTTTCATATTTCTTTCGATTAAATTAGTCAATTTTTTAAATTCTTTTTTTTTTTTTTTATTACAAAAAAAGATTCTTATGAAATTTTAAATGAAAGTTGAACACGTAGTACATATATACTGTAAATTGGTATTCTGCAAAAATTACATAGGATTTGTCAAAGGCTTTAATTATGATTTTTTAAATTAGATTTTTAATTCATAGATTGAAAAAACGTATCGTATGTTTCATGTTTGTTTTTGAAAATTTTTATAAACCTACGAACGACTTCGTTTCGTAATTGGGTGGATCGAAATACGAAATAACGTTAGATTCGAAAAATATCGCGATGTATGTCTATGTCGCTTTTATGTCAATGAAAAAAAAAAAGAAGTACTTTAAATTATTCTTGTTTAAATTGGCTAAAAGCTTTAACATCACAAACGTTGTCCCTTAATTGACAAATCCATTTTTCTATCCGATTATTCGTTCCGATTGACGTTAGTTAATCTTCATGATGTTAATAATAATATTATTATTATAACAAATAAACCCTACAATTATCCTACACCAGATATTCTGCATTCGTCTCATTCTCTCGAAACTTAGTTTTTAGAATGGTTCACTTGTAACATTTGTGATCTGCACACATGTTGTTTTTTTTTTTTTTTTAATTTTTTCAATAAATATTAGGAAAATATTTAAAAGTTATGAATACCCGGTCGAATATTGAAGTTCAACGTACTCCACACTGTAAAATATTATATTATTTTATATAAAGAGAGAAATGTGAAAAATAATTACAATTAAATTCATCAAGAGAATATATATATATATATATATATCATCGTATCACGTTCATTGGAATCTATATAAATGAAATATAATTTACGCGATCAGTTTATTTTCTCTCTCTCTCTCGTCTCGTTCAAAAATATCGTCTCGATGAAAAACGAAATAAAAATGAAAAAAATATAATGCATGCATTTATACTTCTAATAATTCTCTTTTGAATTCTTTTTGAACAATTGATATAATATTTTACGTTTTCTCATTTATTTTAAATTATAACTCAAATATTTCATTATTATATAAAATAATTTTCAACAATCACACAAAATAATATTATGAGAAAAAAAATGTTTCATTAAAAGAATTAAGAAGACGTAAATATCTTGCATAATGTATAACACATCGTTCCATTTAAAATTGTAATTTAATTCTGCAAATTTAGAAAGTATACGAGAAATAAATAAAAAGAAAATGAAGGAAAAAGGGAGAGAGATAGAGGGTTGAGATAAAAAGAATAATAAATTGGATCGATGAGAGAAAATATACGTTTTAAGTTCGTAACTTTAAAATCAAGATCAAACGTATACACGTTTTATCTCAGGATATCCTTAGCTACTTTTATACACCTAAGTGACCATGTGAAAAAAGGACATGGTCTTCTGTCAAAGTAGCAGAGCAATTTCAGGGAACGAACATTTCTTTGACAAGACCGTGTATCTCCCTTTAAGGTGTTTTCACTTCCCTCTCACAATACAGTCCACACGTATATCGCGTAATTTAAATTGCTGTAATACGTCAAGCTGTAGCAGCATGACGTTACCTTCCAAAATAATATGGTGGCTTGTATCCATCCCAGCTACTGTCTCTTCTTTCTCTCTCTTTTTCTCTGTCTCTCTACACAGTTCTTCTCTTTTCACGTTGCTCTTTTCCTTTCTCTCGTTTCATGTTGCTACTAGAAAGCTTCCTCCTTCTAATATGCTTTTAATCTCAGCCATCATTCAACGTGCTTCAACGTTAATCCTCCTTGCGTTTCATTACTTCGATACGTTTCGTCTGAAAGATGATTTAAAATACAATTTTCAATTTAACGTGACCTGCTTTTTTGTATTTGTATTTTATCAACGTTGTATCAATGTTATACGTCGATATTATTTAAAGAACCGATTTTGGTACAAATTAATGACCTTAATTTTACGAATTGAGTTCACTTAAATGGCACTGGACGTCAACAACCCACTATGTCAGGTTCCACGTTCAATTGACTTTTTTCTCTTTCTCTTTTTCTTTCTCTTTCACATGAGATGAAACTTCTCTCAGGCTCGCTCACCACTCTCTCTCTCTCTCTCTCTCTCTCTCTCTCTCTCTCTTTCTCGCGCATCCACGTTGCACGTGGGAGAATCCAAACGCGGCAAGTTTAATTCAATCTAAACCGCCGTGTTTGCTTTCTGCCGTGTTTACCACCAGACGACGCACAGCCGCAGTGGCAATTTATGTTACGCTATTGCGTTTCGCGATCAATTTGCATTCGGTCCTAGGGCGATTCTATTTTACGTTACGTTAACTTGTACGATTTGTACTTTGCCACGAGATGTTTTGACAGTTAATCAGCGTGTATGTACTACGAATTATTTAACTGACCAAATTGTTTTATTATTTAGATTTTGATTCGCGCGTAGATTAGAATTTAATAACAAGAAAAATTATCGAGATGATGAATAACGAAGAGTAGAAAATATTTATGAGAAAAATTCTAATAATTTTCAAATGAAAATAAGTAAGTAAATTAATTAGCTATTTAATACGAATTGATAAATTGCATACGTGTTTATCAACCGGTCTAATGAAAAATGACTCTAGTGGTTTTTTTACTTTACTTTTTTTTTTTTTATCGAAACATCATGCGTCTACAATGTTGGAGTGCATTAAAAATGTATACTGTAATCGCTTTAGTGCTGACCACATGATGTATATATGTATATGTAGGTAACCGACAGGTTTTGTTTCTGAAAAATGTATACATCCCGATCGATACGCAAGTAATTGCAATCTACTCTATATAAATGCTTCGAACTGTGTGGGGGGAATCAAATTGGTAAAAAGTCGGTCAACTGATAAAAATATCAAGTCTTCTAAAGCGCGCGCGCTCTATTCTTTATTAATAAAAATAAATTACATTCTCTAGAATATAATATTAAACGAAAAACAAAAGCAAAATATATGAAAAATAAACCTACTCGATTATCTGTTAAATTTCATTACCTTATGTTCAATTGTTTATAATAATCTAAGGTTAAACGTCACAAAGAAAAAAACATGTCGAAGAGAAGATCAGCAAAAACGGTGACTTCCGTGAAAAGTAAAAAATTAAACGACGAAAATTCGTGGCAAGAAGCATTGGAATCGATAGCAATTAACGATGATCATTGGTGGTGTGTAGTAACTATGATGATCGAGACTAAGTGTAATCATGCACGATTCGTATCGATGTTTAACGAAGCTGCGGATGAGGGAAAACGAAAATCAATTTATACCCTTAACCGTCAAAAAATGTTAGCTAATGTTTGGTCCTTGTCTAGACAGGATCCAGATAAGTGTCCAGTATTACAACGAGTTTGCCATCATGCCAACAAACTGTTTGAAGCTAATATTGAATCTGCTTGGTTGTTAGCACGTGTTATTAAATATATGATCTATCAAGCTAAAGTTGATGTTAGAATGAAAAAGGAACAGGAATTGAAACGAGCTATTGAAGATGAATATCGCATAATGCAAACTGTTACTAATCCAAGTACGAATTACAAATTACGATTAAAACAACTTTTTTATTGAAGCAAACAAATTAATACATCTAATAATTTGTCAGGTACATCTAAAAGTATTCCAAAAAAGAGTGCCACAGAACAATCGTTGAGAGGAAAAGCTAATACGCGACTTAGAAAACGTGATGAGGAATGGCGAGACATAGTTTACGTTGATGATGCACCATTTGACGGACCTAATCTCTATGTCATTTTATCGGGTTTTCACGATCCCGATTTACCCATAGAATTAATGAATATTGGCGTACCACTTACATGTATACTCAAGATAAAACGACCCGGTGAAAAATTGGAACGCGTTACATTGCATTATCTTGAAGGAAAAATTCAAGATACCTTATACGATAGAATGAGGTTACGTTTTACGAAAACTTATACCGTAGACAAGGTCGATTTATATAAATTTTGGAGTGCATTGAAGAATATCTTAAAAAATCCACAAACCGTACAGGTATTTTCTAACGTAGCGTTTCTTACGATAAAGCCACCAATTTTGTCGGAAACATCCGATGACCTTGAATACGAAACTCTAAAGAAAGATATTTACGATAAAGTATCCTTTATCGTGTACGATCTTTACGATCTTTTACGAAAGCATTCCAATTACCTAAGAAGCATGTTAATCCAGCGTTACGACATAGATGAGATGAAAGAAATCGATGCTAAAGTCTACCGTGCAATTCTCGATGCATTACCAACGGAATGCGTAACTGTGCCAATATTACTTCATGCTCTTTTAATACAGGTCGAAGATAACTTAGACGTTCTAACAGATCGATCTTTAAACGAGCAAAACGTTTCGGCAAAGGAGAACATCTATGAAAAGGTTAGCTAGTCGTTTATACCTCAAATTTTTTAAACGCTACGTAGAATCCATTTAACATGATTTTTCCTCAATAAGTTTTTGAATCTTTAGAAAACGATAGAAGAAGATGTTGAAGATGTCGAAGAAGAAGAAAAAGTATCAATTGAAAGTATCGATGACAAAGAAGATTCTTGGGTTAATAAAAGATTGAAACTTCTCAACCAAAAGTACAAAATTACAACGAATAAAAATGTCAATGAAGAAAATTTAAACGATTTAACGATTCAATTGATACTTCACGGTGATAAGTTGAGTTTAAATACTTATCATATCATTTTGAATGATGATATCAAGAAGATGTTAAAATTATCCAATGATATGACTTTGGCTGATGCATTTTTACAAATTTATCATGATCCAAGGATAATTGATTGTTGGTTGAATCATGAAAAATTAACTGATAAGAAAATGAAGGATTACAATTGTTATATAAACAACTTAATCAATTACTTTGATCCTAGTGTTGAAATCTGTCGAGAGAACATTTATCATTACTTGCATTTTTTGATATTCGACAAGATGATCTATGGCAATTCGTTGGATAAAAAATCAACAAATGAAAAGGATCAAATGCTATCAGTTATTTCTTGTTTACATTCACCAAGTAAAATTTTAACGGATTCTATTTCTTTTGTAAAAAAAAATAATGATAAAAAGAAGAAGGAGAAGAAGGAGTCAAAATTCTTATCGAAAAGCGACACTGACATCGACTATGGGAAACCCGTAGCTGCGTTCTTAAACTGTCCGGGTCTCTTTGGACTGACAGATAAGAGAGAAATCTTGCTACCAAGTTATTTGGAGAAGAATGTCTACGAGAAACGACGTAGAAGAATGCACAGACTGAAAGAACCTCTCGAAGAGTACAATGACGTTGAGTTACTTCCAAAAAAGGTTTTACTTCAAACAACCTACGAATGTTTTCGAGATTTCGAACATTTCGAAAAAAGATATTTCGAACCGACGGATTCCATTTTATTGTATTTCAGTAACGATTATGTTATCGGTGAAGTGTCTGAAAAATTATTCGTATCTAACTTACGTACACCTGTCTGTTTACGAGATTTTGTTAAATACGTAAATAAAGAAGAAATTGATTGGATAAATCGTGAAGAAGAAAAGTATCGATTAGAATCGATTGAAAGAATTGGCAAATCATCGATTGATACGATTACATTTTCCAAAGATTATAATCAATTTAGTTTATATTTCGGAGACGAACATTTTATCTTACCGAATTCTTTGAAAGCTCGTGATTTGAGTAAAAAATTACAAACAGTTTCTAAAAGAAATGATACGACGAGACAAGATACGTCTGGGAGAAAAACGAAAGACTTAGAAAAAAAAATTCCCAAGGGTAATAGGGAGAAACAAAAAGGTGGTAAAACGTTGAGTGAAAAAATCTCGTCTGGTAAAGGAAAAAAAGAAGAAACAAATGGAATCGACACTTCTTTTCTACCTAAGAGAAAGATACTATCGTTGGAGTTTGCCAAAGAGGATGAACCTTACGAGTTCGTAGGCTATGACCTCGGCAACTTGAGAGTTCAGATTGTCGAGAAAAGAAAGATTTTCTATTCGGAGGACGGTACATTCGTACGAGTGAATCTAGAGACGTGGCTTTACGAGAACGTAGATTTACGTATTGCCGTTACACTTTCTGGTTGTACCTTACGTTTGTTCGAAAAACCTTTAGATCCTACAAACTCTAACGTTTTTCATCTTACAACCAACGAAGGAAACATCCTTGCTTTTTACAAACAAATTGGTAAGACCTGTGTCAAACATTTTTATACTTATTATATAATACAATATGAATAACAAAAGTAACTTAAAAGGTATTGACATTTTTGTTGGATTCAATTCACTTTAATGCAAAATAAAAAGTTATAAGTCTACTTGACGAATCTTCAAATTTTGCAACCTACTCTTGTATTTTTATATTTTATTATTATAAATATAACTTTGTATATTAATATGCGTGTTATATAAAACTATGATAGGTAAACAGACGTTAGTAAATAATTTTATAATTATTTTATACAAAATTAAAATAATATCTTTAAAATGAAATTAATCTTTTCCACTAACTTTTTCAGATCTTGAAAGAAATAAAATATTTACAATTTCTGATACAACCTTGAACGATTTTTATTGGAAAAATTTGGAATGTGATTTTCATGCATCCTGCCCATCAGGATTGACAATTTTATCAGTTACCGGAGATGGCCCTGATAATCCTTTTTACATTCGTCAATCATACATTTCTAAAGGAGGACCCAAAGATGTTTCTCAAGAAGCTTACCGAAAATATTTGAGGAATGGTACGGTTTTGAAGTTTCTTCACGACAATAGGGTCATTGTGTTGCGTCCAAATGGTGTTATAGTAGAATGCATATCGTTCGAGGATACTATAATAACGGAGGAAAAGAATTTGGAAGAAGGTACAGTACATGTCTCGTTAGATAGAATACATACTTATCGAAATATTCTTTTTTTTCATGGAAGATATTGGAATAAAGCAATGGAAACATAACGGGATAAATTCGAAACGAAAGAAAAGAACATTGAAAACCCAAATCCATGGATCGTTTGAAAAAGAATACGAGGATATTCAACGTGTGTCTTCAACAACAACGACGGACGAACTGATGGTTAAGTTTCGTTTCAGATGGAGTACAACAACGATTAGAAACATTTCAATATTCTAAGGTTTTCAATCTAAATTAATATCCAAAATTTAATTATTGTTTGACAAATTGTTTTTCATCATTAATTCACAATCAAATTTATTCAACAAAATTTTGAAATATTATCGACAAATTTTACTTTCTTTAAACATATTTTTTTTTTGTTGGTTCGTTTTAATTACAAGAGTACAGACTATTGCATCGAGTTTTTTTTTTCTTTTGTTTTTAAAAAATGAAATAAGCGAGATCCCCAAACGAAAATAACATTTTCTATGGGTCTGAGAGTTATTGGAATTTTTGGAAAATGAAAATCAGGCGGACGTACGAACGGGAATGCAGTATGGAAGGATCAAAGTGACGGGATACAATGTCCTGGATCATGATGGTAGAAGGTACGAGGTGCTACGCGATCTGATTGTGCGCGAATACGATCGATTACTGTTCAGAGAGAACTCGGACTACGAGGTAGACGAAAATTTCACGCGACGCTCTGACGGCACCGACATGCTGTTCCATTCCAATGGGAAATTGATCGTCCATTTCCCTGGTACTGATTTTCCTCTATAAAAAAAAAAAAAAATACTCTCATTTTTTCTAATTTATCACACTATTGTTTTTGATTTCTTTCAAAACTATCACAAATAAATTTAAACATAGATAATTATTCCTATCGAGTAAATATATAATTCAATTAATATTCTATTATTATTTTTTCATATTCACATTAATAAAATATATAAATTATATTATATATTATTTTAGATTTTTAATACCACGTTATATTCATAAAAAAACTAGTTCAAAATTTATCAAACTTATAAAATTCTCAACAACTTGACTAAAAAAAAAAAAAAAAAGAATTTCTTACATATAACATTACTTCACAAACTAACTTATATTTTCTCCAGATGGTACTCGTATAACGACCGGTTATAAGATCGAGGAACGACCTTTGATCTGCGATTGGACGAGAGACGAGTTTGAACGATACTTCGGATCGATCAAATTATACGAACACGATGATCGACTTTTCCAAGTAAACTCTCGAAACTATTACAGCAATAACTATGAGAATGGCATGGACAAAGTCATTGTAGTTGACAACAGCAACAATGACAAGAAATTTCTTTGGCAGAAGGGTGAACCCTTAAACGATGAAAATCGATACCAAGATGAAATGACGAGGATATTGATCGCGGACGGCTTTGTCTCGGTCCTATTGACTTCCACGTTCGAGCACAAGAACTACGCCAGTGTATCCTACGATCAGTCAGCAGTTAGTTGCACTCTATCGATGCCAAACGATCTTCGAGTCAGCATATCACGAAGAGGTCATTACGAAGTTTCGGCACCGGGCAAAGTTAATCTCAAGGTAATCAAAGACCACCACCAGCTACTGTCACGACAACGAAAGAGGATCGTATCGTCTTTCGAACAGGAAGAGAGGATATGGGTAAAGGGTGGTACAGAGGATAAAAGGTATAAGGGGTGAGGGCAAAGATTCATTTTTCCAATATCGGAAAATCTTCATCTATCCTAGCTGAGCGTCTTAATATGGAAATCGTTCCTTTACAATATTTCAATATCCTATCTTGTGTTTTCTTATTTTTTCATTTTTTTTATCCAGAGATATTTAAACCTAAAGAGAGAGAGAGAGAGAGAGAGAGAGAGAGATGTCTCGATATTTACCGAAAATTTAATAACGAACGGTAATACAATCACGTTCCGGTGTGGATGTTTCTGTGCGTTTTCGCACATGTATGTATTATATATATATACGTCTAGAGAAAACGTGAAAGAGTAAAGTACCAAACCGGTATTAATAATCCGTCGGCTCTTGAAAGTACGACTGCTCGCGCATCGATATTTCTTCGTGAAAGAGGATTCACTCGGATTGAAATAAAACGAGACGATGGGAGGATAATCCCGGTTACAAATAGAGTACTTTAAACTCATACATGTCTCCGATAAGAGACGTTTAATATAATACTTAAAATAAAGTCAAGTAAATAATATTACATTTTTATTTTCTTTATTTATTTTCTATTTCTCAAGTAAAATGTGAAATTTATTTTTTTTTCTATTCTTTTCTTTTCTTGTTATATTTATCGACTATGACGATTTTCAAGGTACTCGATAATCTCTCTTTCCTATTATTTTACTCATATTCTTTTTTTATTTCTTCCATCCGTCTTTTCATCCTTTTATCTCTCTTTACTTTCTTTCGTTTCTTCAGATAGAATCGGATAAATTGATCTTCAGTAGCGAGATGTGTGCCACCTGTGCCGGAAGGTCTACCTCCGTCTATAACTTCAACGGCAGACGATCCGAGCCAATCGTTTCGACGATCTTTACGAGCAAGGATCTTTTCGGAAACGTTTTTGAGGTTAAAAGTGACGGTACGACGAGTTACCGTGGTAAAAATCGCGAACGACCGTCAAGGAAATTCGATTTCAACGAGAATGCACCGGATGACGACGACGTGTTGGTGGCCACGTCCAAAAGGGACTACCAAGAAGAATATCAAAAAGATGAAGATGAAGATGAAGGTGAAGATGAAGATGAAGATGAAGAAAAGAACAAATATGTGATAGAAGAATTTGGACACATGAAATATTACAATTGTGTGACAGATCATGAAAAATATTGTCAAGAACATAAGAAACCTAACTCAAAACGTGACGTTGTTTCGCAATACAGAATTTTGTCGATTAATCGCGATCTCAATGCTTACGAGTACCTTCATCGATCAATTAGACATCAAGAAGAGATGATCGTTCACCTTAATAAGGATGCAAGCGCCATCTTCCCTCCGGTTTCAATTCATCGATCGAACCTCCATCATCTGATTACATTTGTGCCTTTGGAAACTGAACTACGATCAAAGGCATTGTTACAATCGCATCAGGTTGGATCGTCGATTCTACATAATAGCATGTTCATCCTCACCTTACCCATATATATCTACTTACGAGTCATTTATCTATTTAGCTACGAAGTGATTAAACCTTTGCACTCCGTTTCCTCTTCAGTGAGAACAATTGTCCTCCCCCACCCACCGTAAACACTGTTAACATTTTTTCCTAAACTCTCTCTTGTATAATTTCAAATCTATATTTTAAATTATAAACGAGTGGAGTGCAAAAAAATATAATCCTCGTACACTAATAGAAATATTCGTCAAAATTTTGTTGTAGAAAGATGAAAAAAAAAAGAGAAAAATCGAACTATCATGGAAATAAATTTTTCTAACAAAACTCTTCTTCTTCCAAACGTTATCGAACAGATTCCAAAAGTCAAACCGACGAACGCCGACAGAAAGGATTTGGTACGTAGTACGTATTCGATTCCGTACGATTGGCTCTTTCCATTTGGCAGAAACGGGCATGGAATTTGCAACGATAGATACGACATGCCGTTGGCCAAAACTACCAAGAGACGCCCACCTAGAACTCTGCGGCTTCGTATATTGCATGGTTTCAAAGAACCTGGTAGAAACGCCATAATCGATTTACAGAAAGCTATGGCATCGTATTGGCGATACGTTAGTGTTACTCTTATATTTTTCTCTCTAACCCTTTCATAGATATTTTTTTCTTTTTATTCCTTTGATAATTTTATTAAAGACGAAACGTTTTCTAAAAAGATACGTTTCAAAGATAAATTTATGTTTTACTTCGTAAAGTAAAGTTAGTATGGTCAAGTTAGAAAATTGTCATATAGTTAAATGTGTTTGTTGTTTATCTCGAAAGTAATACATATGAATTTTAATTCATTAAAAACGATTTTCCATGTACACTCCTAGTTGGTTGGAAACATCGACGAATGTCAAAGATCTTTGAACGTCTACGACGGTGTTCAACCTAAACTCGAAGAAGACGATTACAGAACTTGGAAAGATAATATCAGAGAGTTCGCCCTTGGTATACGAACGAATATTGACGTAGCGACTTATCTTGATAGTTTGCAAAGATATCGAAGAGAACTAAGTATGCCGAAATTAGAAGTAAAATCTAAAAAATTGTTCGAGATGTTGAAATTGAGAAAAGCGAATGAAATTCAAATCGAATGGCATAAACGTTGCATAAGGGAGAATATTATTTTGCCATATTTCGAAAACGTTATTGGTACGTGTTTCCTTTTAATAATTGACTGCCTCGATCGAGCCATTCTAATAATAGACAAAAAAGAACAAGAACAAGAAGAAGAAGAAATAGAAGATGACATTTTCTGATCGTTAATAATAACTTTCAATAAAAGATAATCTTAATCGAATGTATAAATCATGATTTTAATCGAGTTCGAACGTTTAGAAGCGTTGGATTCGATTTTTCATGAATAAAAATTGTTCAAGAATCCTACGCTTTTTCTCGTGTTATCCGTACGTCATCCAACGAAATCTACAATTTTTATAAATTCGTTCGTTATTTTACGAATGCGGGGAAAGAAAGAGAGGGGTTTAAATTTCCTTTTCGTAAAAAAGTTTAATGTAATTTTAAATCAAATTGTGCGAATACCTACTGCATACGTATATAACTTTAAAACATATATATATATAAAGTATAATATACGAGAAATTAGATCGAGAGAAAAATAATTAAAAAAAAAATAAAGGATCGTTCTCTCTCTCTCTTTCTCTTTTTCTTTCTTTTTCGATGCGATACAAAATCGCAAATCGTTGGTAGGAACGACGAACATCCGTCCATTAATTCGCGAGGAAAAATGAGGAATCGTAGTTTAAAAGGAGATTTCGCGTTGCCGTCACGTACATATGGACGAAAGAAAAAACTGAGAATAAAAAAGAAATAAAAAAAGAAATATGGACAAATAGTGAAAAAAGTAAGGAAAGATATATATGTGTATACATATATATATATACACATTTTATATATATATATATATAAAAGAAGAGAAGAATTATCTTCCTCGAGTTAGCTCTTTTTTTGCAAACGAGTAAATTGTTCCTTTACCCAGGGAAAGACAAAGATATGAAGGGAGACAAAGAACAAGTCAAAAAGAAAAGAAAAAGAAAAAAAAGAAGAAAGGTTGGTGAGTATCGTATAGAAACAAGGGACGAGGACGAGGACGAGGACAAGGACGACGACGACGACGACGACAACGACGAGAAGCTCTTCGTCCTTCCTACTCATGCACGTTTTTACCACCTGGTGATTTTAGCGCGCGTGGCAGGAATAACGAAATGAGGAAGTCGAGGAAAAGGGCGAAATCATGGGCGGTAGTAGAAAGAGGTGGTGGTGGTGGTGGTGTATGGTTAAGGGTAGGAAAAAGGGATGAGAGACGAAGCAGGAGGTAGAGAGAAGGGTTGGGTATATACGAGGGAGTTGTAAAGGTGGTGCTTGCTAGACGACGAGGACGACGACGCGTGTGCCAGCCGCCACAGTAGTGCCATATGCCTTGCACATTACGAAAACTCGTAAAAGTACGGCACATGTTTTTATTCCGTTGCCACGCTTTCCTTTACTTGACGTACACACACTCATCTCTATGACGACACATTTATCTTTTCTATCCTTTTCCTATTTTTTTTTCTTTTTATTTTTATTTCCTTTTAGTGGTTCACCCTTTTTTTTCGTTTCCTTTTCTCCATCTTTCGTTTCCTTATCTTTGAGAGATTTTCAGGATAGGTAAAAATCTTAACTCGGTTTTCCTTCATCTTTCTATCCTTTCTTTTCTTTCTCTTTCTTTCACTACCTCTATTTTCCTATTACTTTTATTCTCTGTCGACTTCAACGTCTACGTTAAAAGGAATAAAATTGTTTTCAAACAGTTACTTTTATGGAATTTCATTTATTCGCCTAGCGCACACTCTTCTTCTTCTTCTTCTTCTTCTTCTTCTTCTGCATAGTTTTATTCGCCCGTCAAGCCATCATCGTTTTTCTCTTTTCTTATTTTCTCTCTTTCTCTCTCCTTCTCTTTCAGACACACTCTCTTACTCGTTTTCATTCGTTTCCCTTTTATAATGTGGAAGAAACGTAAATATGTTTTACGAAATAGGTGTAAACATCTAGGAAAAGGAGCACAGTAGCGTACGTTACGAGGACTCGTAAAAGTGTAGTATCATTTTACCATAAGGTTCTCTTAAAGAAAAGGTTCCTTCTCTCTTTCTATCTTTATCTCTTTCTCTTTCTCTCTTACTTACTCGTCTAGTCGTTCTTCTTCTTCATCTTTTTCTTCTTTATTCAGAAGATTTTACTCGCGTATACTTCAGAGACAAGGTCAAGAAGCTAATAAAGAGTTAACGAACTTCAACACGGCGTATCGTTGGTTCCCGACAAGATGTGGTAATGATGGTGATGGTTCTCTCTCTCTCTCTCTCTCTCTCTCTAACTCACTCTTTCTATCTCTTTCTCTCTTTCGTTAAAAAAAACTTGTCCCATTTAATTTAATTAATTAAATTATCCACGCACGAGTTATGCGAAAGTAACTCGAGTTTTCTCAAAACCAAAAGAAATAGCGTTTTTCTTCGCTCATCTTAACGAAAAATAGAATTAGAGAGAGAGAGAGAGAGAGAGAGAGAGAGAGATAAGAGAGTGTCCTACAATTTGGCAAGAACTAGAATATCTTATTCTTTTTTTAAAAGGTCTCCGCGTTCGCTCATTTCTGCAAAAATTTTCTGCCTCGATTCTCTCATTCGCCATGCTACATTATTTCAAAGTATAATTAACGCTCTCGTTCTTCTTCTACTTCTTTTTTTTTTTTTCACTTTATTTATTTTTCTTTTCTTTACCATAAAATAAAAAGGAAAAAAAAAATATATATATATATATATACTTAGAATGAAAATGAAAATAAATACGCAAACTCGTTGCTCTTTTAATTTTTTTTTTATTTCGTGTTAATCATTAAACATTAAAACGTTAAATGTCAATTCTTTGACAACGAAAGAAAGAGAATAAGAGATGGGGAGAGAAAGAGAAAGAAAAAAAGAGAAAAGCCGGATAATAGAATTTACTCCATTAAAATTGCATTTACTTCTTAAAATTCTATCTGATTGTGAATCGAATCAGACTTTTCGATTGGAAACAGAAAACAGAAAAGGGTGAGAGAAGAAACTGGTAGGAGAGTATGATGGTGGTGGTAATGGTGGTAGTGGGGTGGTGATGAGGATCGGTTTTTCTGTCTGGTTCTGGGCAAGCGTGTAAAAGATTGCGCTCACGTATTTTAAACCTATATCATTTACCCTTCTCTCTTCTTCTATGACGTAACACGCCACGAGAAAAAGGTAGAGATAGAAAATACTAGGGGGATGAAAAAATGAATAAAAAAAGAAAAAAGAGAATAGCGGGGGGGGGGAAGGAAAAAAAAGGAAGAAGTGGAAGAACAGAGAATAAAAAAGATAGCTAGCTCGACCTGGCTGCATTATAAGTATTCCTTCATACGAGGTTGATCCCATAGGACCGGTTATACCCTCTGGCGAGTCCATATGTTCGAAGATAATCTCCTGGGACAATATCGTTGTATTAACGACATGTAGAAGAGGTCGTTCTACTATAACATAGTGCTTCGTAATTCATTCTTGGCTTTTTCTAAAAAGCAAAGAAACAAGATCAAAAAGTTTAGTAAGTTCTATGCGACCAATCTCCACTGATACTGATTTTTACGATTCCACGAGATATTAAACGTAACGATGTACTAGCAATATCAATTTCATTAAACATTACTTATATTCTAATAAAAAAAAAACAAAAAAAAAAGACAAAACAAGAACTGTCGTTTAATATTTCTCTATCATTCTCTCCCACACACATATTGGTCAAATTATTTTAAAAGTAAAAGTAAAATTACACTTCGTATAATTTTGTTATTTAACACGAATAAAGTGTCACTCGTAACGTAGCGTGTAATTCACAAAAATCTAATGTTGAAAAGATGAACAAGAGATAACGTTTGACGGAGCAAACGAAGTAAAAGAAAAGGGTGAAAGGGTTAAAACTTAATTTTACGTTTGGTGGGACGTGATGTCGCCTCGTGAAACGCATCGTCGATTCGTGGAAGTATAATCCGTTGGATTCCACTCGTGGTTGGTGGCTGAATGGTTGAGTTGGCTCGTAGGAAGGAGTTACAGGGGTTGAGGGTTGGTAGACTGGTTGGGAAATATCGTAGAAATAGATATATATATATATATATATATCACGAGTTGCTGCGTTAGCCAGGCGTATACGAGAAATAGAAAGAGAAATAGAATGAAAGAAAGAGAAAGAACGTTTACGTATCGCGTTATTGGACAAAAGTTGTAGCATCGATTTCAGACGCGACGCAATCTGATATATCGTAGGGCTTGAATTTTTCCTAGTGAAAAAGAAATAAGTATGGTAAGAGAAAAGAGTGAGAAGAAAGTAAAAGACGGGCCATTTTTCTTTTCGACTTTGCAGCTGGATATCGTTCCACGTAGTACCTTCTATCCTACTTCGATACGTACAGACAAAATATATGAAGTCTTCTACGCCCTGTGAACGCAGCAGCAGTACCAAAAAGGATGAATCTATCCGATCGGTACTTCTGTCGCGAATAACGATGTCTCTAATGCATCGTATAACCTATATATATGTATATAGATTTTTTTTATTATTATCTTGTACCCTCTATGCAATAGATTTTACATCAGCGGATGATGGAAATGAGAATCATCCTTGCGAACCGTGTTTCAACGAGGCTCGCATATTACGCAGGATTGATACATAAGTATGTAAGTATGTCGTTTGCATTCGATCGATAAGCTTTTTGTTCTCACGTATCTCCATTATTTGAGCGAGATTGCTTGTGAAAGTATAGAGGGAAAAAGGAAAGAGAAAGGGAAAGGGATAGAGAGAGAGAGAGAGAGAGAGAGAGAGAGAGAGAGAGAGAGAGAGAGAGAGAAAGAAAGAAAGAGAGAAGAGAATTGCCGTGCGTCACGATCAGCGTTCGTAAAACAATTCACTTTTTATACGCCACTCTCGTCGAACAAATTTTAATGAATTCTTGTTATTATATCTTTCTCCGCTCGATCACATTTTGCCTGCACATGTATATATATATATATTTTTTTTTTTTAAAGAAGAAATTGTATTTATAAAAGATTGGAAGATGATCGATCCAATTAGAATTACATCAGAATTATACTAAATTTGAAACGACGAGTTGGTAGTATAATTAAAATCTAACGCGTGAAAATTTCGTTTCAACCAGGATCCCAGTATTATACGAGTAGAACGACGAGCAATTAAGCCATCGAACGGACTGCATTCGAGCTCTTTCGATTCTCGATTATCGACTTCGATAACGTACTACCGAAAGAGAAGTTAGCGGTCGTTGCAGAATTTCTAATCGAGAATTCCCGCGTACTACGACGACGACGACGACGACGACGACGACGACCTCACCGGTGGTACTTCAATCGTGCTCATGCTCTTGGCTCTATTTCAATGGAATAATGAGAGCTTTTAATAATCTTCTTGCGTGCAAACCTGTCCTATCATTTCATCTTCCTTCTTTCTTTCTTTATTATTCTTTTTATCCTTATCACTATTATCATCATCATTATCATCATCATCGAATTGAGAACGCCTCTCTTTTTTATTTCTTTTTTCCCCCTTTCAATTTGTTCGCTACGGTAATTTCGAAGATGATATCAGCAAATAATTAGTTCGTATCCCAGAAATTAAGAATAATTATAATATTATTCCAATTAGAAAAGCGATGCTTTAAATTGATTTTTATTTTTTACAATTAATTAATGATAATCTTTGGTTGATAATTTTTTTGTTCACAAATATTTATTCTAATTTTTAATTAATCACTATTTAACTGGTTATACACCTTGTTAGTATATTTTATTTAAATGGGTATAAAAACTTGGCAATTAATGACCAAGGGGCGTGAATTCGTGAGAAGGTTTGAATTACGAGAAGCACGGTGGTCTTTGGTTAAGGCGATTGTTTTTACCAAAAGATTTCCAATAGTGAGAGAAATCGTTGAGGATTGGAAGGTTTGCTAGGACTCAAACACCCTTCGGTCCTTCCCTTCCCTCTCTTGCAAACTCTACGTGATCTGATTTCGAACGATACCATTTAAACCGGGGCCCCAACCCTCCTTTTGCCATGACACTGTTCTGCGTTTTCTTTCTCAACGAAGAAACTGTTTCTCAATTTTTAGTATTTTTGTTTTTGTTTTTGGTATTACAACGGGGACAATCGAACAACGAACACGTTTGTTCAATCTCGTATATCCACACATATTCGACCACCTGTCTATACCTGCATAATCTTTTTTATAGAGAAAAAAAATGCAATTATTCGAATATTTTGTTGAAAAGTACGAATTACGTGAGGTAAGAAAAAAAAAAAAGAAAAAGAAGTTAAGGATAACGATGCACATATCAATGTTAGTGGTTAATTAAGGGTGAATTTCATGTAAGAAGTTCCATTTCTATGATGATTCAGACAATAGGAACATGCCGACTCATCTGCCAGCAATGCACGTAATCAGAGTCCGGTCCTTTCAGGAAAAAAAAGAGAGAGAGAGAGACACACATATAAGGAAGAAAGTTGCATTGAGAGATCCAAGTTTTATATGTGTACGTGTGTAGTATGTACGTTTTCATACATGACTCTCAGTCTTCGAAAAGCTAGTTTGCGATATCAGGTGAATAAGGTATGAGAGAACGGTTCGTGATTCTCAGTTGGAACGCCGAAGGGATAACTGATCGCGTACGAACTTGCAGTCCTATAAATTTCTACGAAACTACGATCTTGGATTTTTAATTCGAAGATTATTCGCTAGAATTACCAACGATAAAAATGAATCGATGAATTATTTTTTTTTTTAAATAAATTTTTTAATCATTCTTAAATCACACTCACATAAACACACACTCGTCAAATCAAAAATTATGATCTAAAAATAAAAAGAAGTTCAATTACCTGGGAACCTTTTGAATTGATCATTTAGAAAAAACTGTGTCGTTTACTCTACGAAAAAGTTTTCTTTCTTTGTGGAATAATTCTTGACATTATTTGACAAAAATAATAATAATAATAAAAAAAAAAATAATAATAAAAATATAAAAAACAAACAATCTTTGACATGAAGCTTTGTAAAATGAAAAACCTGGAAGAGTTTGTCGTATTTGAGAGCAACTCGAGTTTCTCAGACCCTTGACAAAAACTTTTGATTGCGAATGCTGGCTCGAGGCGTTCTGCCAATGAAAATGTAGAAATGCTCTTTCAAAGAATACTCGGTTCAGGTAGTAGAATAGAATCGAGAAACGATTCTTGATAAGTTGGATGATAACGGTGTTAGACCGGTACGTATAAGTACTTCCTCAACTTTAGCATATTTAATTGAAAAAAATGTCGACAAAATTTAATTTCAGAAGCTTTTTGAATACAAGAATCTAAAAAAAAAAAAGAAATTAATTATTTTATTAATTAATACGAATATATAAATAGATTAACGTAAATGCAATTCTTTTTTAATATGTCAAAGATTTTATAATAAATCGATATTTGTGTAATAAATAATTCGTGCGTAAAATATTAAAATTCTCCTATATCATTTTTTAATTACATCGAATACTACAGCAGTTAAGATTTTACAATAAATCAATATTTTTTTTTTTTTAAATAAAATATAATTCGACATTGGTAAATAAATGAAATGAAATGAAATAAAATAAAATAAAATAAATAATAGAATATTTGCTTGAAAATAACGAGGAATAATTATTTTCATTTTCACTACAGTTGAAGGGCTAATGAAGTAAGCAAGAATTTAACTGGATAGCTAGGTAGCTAGCTAGCTAGCTAACCTTCAACGCTCTATTCCCCATGGAATTCCTGCGAGATTGAAAAAATTTCATCACGGGAAAAGACTCCCGGGGTCCTTCTACTTCTACAAGCACGCTCTCTCATAATTATCGACTTACAAGCATATCGCAAATCTCAGGAGTCTTTATTAACGATCGTCTAACTAGAGTTTCTCGGTGGACAGAAATATTCGTTAAAATGTTCATTTATGTTTTTTTTTTCTATCTCTCTTCCTTTTTAAAAAATTATGTCGAAAGGCCAAAAAAAAAAACAGCCCTCAAAACATGGGTTAGTAATATACTTGTTAAACGCAAATTTTATGCTTATATTTATGAAACTCTTCATAATGAATGTAACAACATTTATTGACGAATTTTAATTAATTTTATATTATATTGAGTTTAACTTTTACTAGTTAATTAAATATTTTATTTATTAGTTATTTGATTTAAAACAGTATTACCTGTTAAAAACAAAAGTTAACTTAGTATGTTAGTAATTGAATTCTAAGAACTATCAAAGTTAATTAAATTCCTTTTCAAACTTTCGATATGTATTATTATAACTCACATATACGCAAAATCATATCTAAATATATATATTTCCATATCGGAAATAATTCAACGGACGTCTCAGGAGAATAGATAAGTGGAATGCGATAAAAGCAATCACGATAAGCATCGGAAAGAGGAACTTTGACCAATCGTTTATATGCAAATATGATCATACAGAGTCGAGCTTTCACTATATCTATGTATTGAGGAAAATAAAAAGAACAGAATATATGTGAAATAAATGCTTGCAAATATTTTCGTCTGTTATTTCGAGAATTGCGATTGCTTTCGAAAATTATTAGTATTCTGGACAAAACTATTTGGTTATACAGGCTGAAATCTGGAATGAAGAGAAAAAAAAAGGCCTTTCAGTATATGGATCTTTTTAACTTACACACACTCATTTATCCTTTGTATAAAATATTATTTATTTTAATGCATACATATATTTAAATTATATATTGTAGAGAAAATTATTTTTAAATCATTAATAAAAATTATTGTTTACTTTTTCAATTTCTAAATAACTTATGAAGATGTTCTTTATAAATTATCCATTACGGACTTTTTTTATTATAAAATTTTTATTTATGTTTCAAAAAAAATAGAGGAAAATTTGCCTTTTAAAATAATATTTACGATTCGTTCGTGTGTTACTTTTTAATCTCACACAAATTTACCCACACAAATAAAAGACTAATTCAATAACATAACGATTTTGAGTTAAAATCTTGAAATTTACGTAATTTATTAATTTTATTTTTACGTACACATGTTAACAACAACTTTCGAACATATCTATTTAAAATTATAAACGAAAAATTCAAGTTGATGTATTTTTGTAACGAAAAGCCGTAGAAACATGAAACCAAGACCATTATTTCGTTGAAAGAATCCTCTTTTTATCTATTCATGATTTCATTAGCTTTAAAAGCTCATACATATTCTCGTATATGTTTTCTACGCTTTATCGTTCATTTATTATTCTACTTATATTTTATTCCACTTCAATGTTCACATTTTTCATTATTTTTTATTTTATTTTATAATTTAATTATACTTATCATCACAAGTATCTTATCGCTAAATAAACAAATAAAAATGTCGATAATTTGTTCGATATAAATATATTATTTCATTTATTTAGAAAATTATCAAACAAAAACTTCTTTTTTAGAAAGTTATTTTTCATCGACGAAAAGTTGTATCAGTTTACTACTCGTTTTACTACTCTTTGTTCTTTGAAAAGTTTAAGTTTACATAAAGTGTTGGTAACAACACTTACAACTACAACTACAGCTTATAGATCGCAAAGAATAATTTATTCGCTGGTTGCTTGGTTAAA